AGAAAAGCAGAAAGATTATATCTCCTTTAGAGATCTAGAATAATATGACACAAATAGGGAAGATATTTGAAACACAGAGTTCCATTTTTTTTAATATATAGAAAATTTCAATACAAGACAAAAAGATAAAATATCATATGGTGAGAGGATGATTTCAGAACTGAGAATAATTCTGAAGCTTATCCATTAACTTTATTACAGTGTGATTCATTAGCACAGAGTTAAGAGCTGAAGTTTTCTAAATTCTCAATCCTTGAAAGAATAGCTCACCCATCATTATTTCTATTTGACCTTTCATGCCTTTGTGAAAAGATTCTTCATGTGAAGGCTGTTATTTTCCACTTATCTACTACTTTTTTCTGGTTCAGGCAATTTATATTTGACATACACAAAAATATTTTTATTTCACAGGTATAAGCATTGATCCACTTCTATAATCTAAGTATCACATCCTACAAATTATAAGATGACACAGAAGCCAACTTAAACATTCTACCTCACACAACAGGGGGAGAATGAAGCACAATAGAGATACTTGGGTCGAGGTCTTAAAAAGCCTAATAGGTAATTTTATCTCTGTGTTCTTCATGCTATCAGTAGCTGACCAACGAGTCCAGAATTTCTTTCTTCGATTAAGGCAGCAATAATGATGGCAGCTTGCCTTAAACTCTCTTGTAGTTTCTGCTCACCCTGAAAAGAAAGGGTAAAACAATAACTATTTTAGAAAGAAAATACATCACATATTAAATTTGATAAGGAGCCACTTTTCAAGATCTGCTGCTCTCTGGATTTGGCATTTTGTAAAATCAGACCTTAGCCATGGGCATGGACTCAGTCCCCCAAATAAAGAGGAAATGCTTTTTGCAAGCACTTTTCATTACAGACCAAAAATATCTGCTAAAGAATCAATGAAAAGCACTGACACAATTTCAAATGCTAACAGAAAGAAACAAAAGATTATTTTCTCTTAATTTCATTTGTGACAAACTTTGGCTCTTCACTGAAGTGTGAATATTTCAATGATGATGCAATCCTTCTCTTCATCCTGTTTCTGAGTATTCTCCAACTTTGTTATGAACTTTGTGAGTGCTGGTGTGAGGAAAAGAAAAAAAAAACAAAACAACCCTGCTTGCTGTTTGTGAAGTAAGTAAGGATCAGGCAGATTTGTGAAATGAGTCATTTCACAAGTTGCTAAAATGTGGTTTTGCCTCTGAAATCATACTGGCTATGAAAATCTGTTTATTCTAATTATTTAGGCTTCTTGCAAGTATACAGAGATTATAGTATGAAGGGAAAGGGAAAGTGGAAGCAGAGCTAAGATCTTGAAGGTCTCTGTGTTGTGAACGGTTCTATATTTTTAAAGAGGGACAGGGTAACCAATCTCTAAACTTAGGCATCATCCTTAATGCCTTATCCCATGACCCAGTATATCTTTTAGGTCCTATTGCTTCTATTTCCTTATTGTTTCTTGCATCCATGTACACTGGGATAAGGCATTAAAAATGATGCCACCCAAAATGCCACTGTCAGCATAACACCTCTGTCCCCAATTACTGGAACACTCTCAGGAACAGTTTCTAAAGTCTTGTCCTCTTCAACTCCATTTCCTACATAAGAGTCAAAATACTCACTTTAAAAGGCAGATCTGATTACATCACTATCTTGCCTAAAATCCTTTGAATGCTACCTTTAAACCTCAGGATAAAGTCTGACCCTTTTACCTGGTAATAAAAAAGTCTTTAATCCTTCCAGCCTCTTCTTGACAGCCCCTTAAAATCACTCAATTCCCCAAGCCACATAGAACAAACAAGTATTTTTCTGAGCTTCAATCCCTTGGCTCCAACTAATCCCATTGCCAGAAAAGCTTTCCCACAGCCTTCCTAATTTAGCTGACTCTTAATTACTCCTTGTGGTTCAACCCAGGTTGAACCTGGCTCTTGAATCTATCCTGACTGCTATCCTCCATCCCAGTTTGGGTGATGTGGCTATGTTTCCACAGCTATGAATTCCTCTGAATTCCACTGAATTTTAATAGTGTTTTCAGTTAAGCATTTATTCTACCAGATGATAAGTTTTATATGTAAAGAATTTTTCATTTTAGCTTTGAATATGGAACACTTAGCTCAATGTCTAACACATGGTAGCACTCCATAAATTACAACACATCAAAGCAAAGGAGACTCTGGCTGTGATAGAGACATAATCACCCTTTCTGTTGAATTCATTTGTTAACATTGACTGCTGTTTGGTTACTTTGTTTACTTAATTTGCATATTTAAGCTGAAGCCTAGCAATAGTACAAAAATAAATAAATAAATAAGATACGGAAGCCTCACCACTAACAGCAGTCACCCACTTCCCTGGCCTGTGTTCCTCATCTATGAGGATGAAGGTGAGGGAACACCTCTGCTTAAGGTGCTCTTTCCCATCAATTTCTCTGATTGTGTTCTAAGGGGTGGAGCTGGGAAGAGCCTCCAGGGGCTGAATGGTGGCTGTTCTGCTGCTTGTAAGTGGGTTTTACATGACAATTCAATATTGGATTTCAAATGCTGTTCTAGTTTCCAGAATGTCACAAGACCTAAATCACATATAAATGAATTATTCTAAAGACAAATATGTTTGGGCTTAAAATATGATTCATTAGACAGGAGCAGATATCATCTACATCACATTATTCATAAACACAGAAATAAGTATTTTAAAACTCAGCAAAATACAAACCAACTATTGATATGTATTTGTAACTCTTAATGATCAATTAGTTACAATGTTGCATGGTCTAAAATACACCTCTACTCCCAAGTTTCCTTTATTCAACTGAGATGTAACAAAGATAATAATAATTAAGCCTTCTTCTTTTAAAATTAAACAGAAAAAGTCAATCTGTGTAGCCCCTTTCAAACCAGTTTATACTTGTCATAATGAAACAACACAGTAACAAATGAAGAAATTAAGGGCAAACTGTTTCAAGATCACAGGGCTAGAACAATCACACATCTATACTTTACAAGAAATCTTCTATACTCATTTTGTTAGCTCCCTAACTTACATATTTTTAGTTAATAAAGATTTAAGATTTTCTTTTAAAGATTAATTTACTCTGCAATTCTTTATAGGCTTTATTTTGAAAAGTTAGAATTCAGTGACAAGTAACTATGTCATTCCACTGAATATCTGTTTTCCCTCTCTGCCTGAACTTATTAATCATTTTACCTTGAACAACATGGAAATCTAAAAACTGATTAAACAAGATGGTGAGACACACATATAATCACAAAATTCTAGTATGTACAAAGATCAGATATTCACACAATTTATAAATTTCAAACTCATCTCAAAATTCCACATCTCTAGAACAGTACTGATAACACAGGAAAAAAAGGGAAAACTCATCTTGAAAAACCATATCTTGCTGCCAGCAAAAATGCAAAACACTGTTTGAACTTTTGAGGAGAGTGAGGATCAGGAAGGCAGTATAGATGGTATTTTATTATCATTCACACGTATAAATGAGTATATACATATGCATTCCTTTGTGAGTTCCAAACATTACATAATAAAATTTTTTAATGTTAAACTAAGTAAGGTCAATATGACCACTGAAAAATCATGTTGATAGTATGCACTTTGAAATGATATGAAAATGGGATTTACTTCTGTGGTCTTCCTCGCAGAAACCTATAACCTCAGTCTAATCATAAGAAAGATATCAGAAAAATTTCAATAGAGAACATTCTACAATCTACCTGAAAAGTACTCCTCAAAACTGTCAAGGTCATCAAAAACCAGAAATACCTGAGAAACTTTCAAAGCCTAGAGAAGTCTAAAGAGACATGACAGCTGAAAGTAATATGGTATACTGGAAGAGAAAAATACATTAGGTAAAACTAAGGAAATCTGAATAAACTATGGATTTTGTTAATAAGAATACATCAATGTTGGTTCATTACTTGTAACAAATGTACCATACTAATAAAAGATACTAATAGGAGAAACTGGGTGCAGAGTATATGGGGATTCTGTATATAATTTCAATTTTTCTATATATCTAAAAAATTAAGTGTATTATTAACTACTTTTAAAAAAGCAATTTTTTGTTAATTTTAAAAATGTTTATGTGCCAGAATTATAAAACTTGAATTACAAAGGTAATTTATTTGTGTGCACTGGCCCATGTGTATATTTCTTGAATAAAATACAATACTCCTTTAACAAATTATGCAGTTGAGAAGAGCAAGTCAGATTGCTGGTATTATTATACTGGCTTTGACAATTTAAGTGATGTCTGAGCAAATTTTTGAAGTTGTAGAGCTCTCCTTTTTTTATTTAAAAATGGGGAAATAGATTTGTTTTGTGGAGATTAAATTAGATGAGACATGTAAAGCTTCGATACCTAGTAAATAGTCAATAATAATAGCTATTAGAATTATTATTTTTATGAGGTATATTGATTTTAGCTATGACAGCTGATATCACCCTCTTACCACAGATAACCATTAAATATGGAAAACTGTATGTAAAAATATTAAAAATTCTCTTTGCAGGTCTTAGACGGTAACAAATGCTTGTCTATAATCCCTGAAAGAAGAACCCCTTAGCTTAACATTCACTCCAGCTGTTTTGTTGAGATCATCTTTCCAAAATAAGAAGAAACAGAACCCAATGAGAGAATGGCAATATCTCCAGGTACAAAAGACACAGATTACAATTTAGAGCTGTCAAGGTAGCTTGGATTTCCACAAGCAAGGTCCCTGATAGGACAGAGTTGCAGAGAAGTCCTAAAAATCTGCTAAAAATTCCCCTTCAGTGATTGGCATCTCCTAACTGTTCATGCCCAGGGAGAGACTGCATGAGGCCTTGCAGAGAATAACTGGCGGGAAGCTGGAGACCTGAGGGGAGATTTCAAGGCCTCACAGTGCTGAGGAGAAGGAGGGCATATCTGAGTCCAGCTAGAATGAAAAGACCCTGGTGAACAACCATGGCTTTCAGTTGAGATCTCTAAAAGACCATGCCTATGGCCTGGGAATAGAAGCAAAACTTACTAGACCTGAACTAAGAAAACTCAAACAATCTTCACAAGATCAAGTTGATCTCCCTGTAATACAACTGCTTGCTAGAACAAATTTTCATACTCTTTGAAGAAAGCTGAAATTATCTAGAGCCTTTATAATGTTTTCTAACTAATGTGTGTCATACAATGAAATATTACTAGACAACCAAAGAGGCAGAAAGCAAAAAAGCCAAAAAAAAAAAAAAAACCCTCATAATAATAACCTCTCATTATAACCCATAATAATCAATTAAGCAGATCCAGAAATGATACATATATTGGAATCAGCATGCAAGGCTTTCAAAATAACTATGATTAACATATTAAGAAATAGAACTAAAGATGAAAGTGTTGATGAAAAATGGAAATTTTCAACTTAGAATAGGAATCTATAATAAAGAACATTTTAAAATATAAAACTTAAAATCAAGAATTAACTGTACTGGCTTAATATTGGATAGGCAGAGCAGAAGACAGTATTAGTGATCCCAAAGACAGGTAAAAAAAAAAAAAAATCTGAACTGCAGCAGAGAAAAAAATGTTGAATTAATATTATAATCTCTATGATACTTTATGATCACATTACCATTTCATTTTCCTATTTCTTCCTTATGTATGGGTACCTCCCTCACCACTAAGA